CTGCCAAGGTCTGCCTGCTGTCTCTCCATCTCTACCTCTCCTCCACAACCCTGAATGTGCTGTCCTCTCTGCCACTCACCAGGCCAAGCGCTCCTGTGGCTGCTTCAACTCAGCCCTGCCTGGGATGCCAGCCTCAAACCCCTGTACTCTCTGCACCCTAAACCTCATGCCATGCCCGGCGGCTCCTGGTCCTCAGAGAGGGGCTGCCCCAGAACGTCCACTGCTCTGCCTGCCTTCCACCACCCAGCCTCAGCCTCAGGACCCCAGGGTCTGCACCCAGTGCCCCCTGTGACACCCTGGAAACAAGCTTCCTTCCCATGGGCACCCAGGAGCGGGGAGGAAGCGCCTGCCGGGCAGGAACCCTGACACTGCACAAGACACATGGGCACCGGGCCAGCAGGTTCCCAGGCCCAAGACCAGCAAGACCCATCCCTGCCTCACAACAGGAGATGACGGGTGGGGACTGGTTTAATGGAGTTAGCTGTATTTAGGGTTAGCTGTATTTAGCTCTACTGGGGTGTCCTGCTGGGGGATCTGCAGACTTGGGGTGATCGTCCTGGGAGCTGAGCCTGCAGGGAAAGTGTCTGCAGCTATGAGAGCCAGAATGGGCAGTTATCCAGACAGAAAATCTGACCCCTGCACCCCAGACGCAGGGTGGGCAGCCCGACCACAGAGCTTGCACACACTGGAGCATCACTGCCTTTATCTCACCAAGGTGGCACTTCCTGGCCTAGACAGAAAATCTCGCAGCCCTCCAAGGGGACATCTTCCTCATTGCTCTGGCTGCCCAGAGCCAGACCTGGCCTCCGGGGCACAGTGGACACTTAAGAAGCACTTGAGGAATGAACTGATGCAAAGAGGTACAGACATGGTGGACTTTTCATGGGAAATTAAAATGGAAAGACATTTGCAGAGCACTAAAACATTCTAAAAGCCACCACTCCCTTACGACGCACTGTCACTTTTAAAGATGGACAAGGAAAAAACACTGCTGGCTTCTCCACTGAACAGATCATAGCTTATCAGCGTGTCTCTGAGTTACCAGGCTTGACAGCAAGCTCTTCTCCAGCTGGGCTTCCCATCTTTGCATCCCAAGCTCCTCATTTTCCTGAAGAGTTGCAAAAGTAAAGTAGTGACATTCTGTATTATTCAGCAGCTTCAGTTTCCCCAAAAGCCCATGGTGGGACAGAACTGACACCCTGTCCTTCGCCACTCCGGACAAACATGTGGGTCACTGTCCACAGTCGGGAGCAAAAGCAGCAAGGCCCCGAGAGATCAGCCAAAATGACAGGGCCGTGCTGCCTTGCTCTGCTCCCCACTTGGTTCTCATCACAGAAAACACCACCTGTATCAGGCTGGTGTCTGAGGACAGGTCCCAGCCTGGTGGTCATGCTAATCCCACAAGAAAGCTGCCGCTTCCCCTCCTCGATGGGCCCCGTGCAGCTTGGGGATGTGAGTCACAGGGCGCCTCAGCTTGTTCTCTAGGTGCTGCGCAGTGGTCGCTCTGCCTTGGTGAGCGAACACTGAGCTCCATGTGCCTCTCAGCCAGCAAACTTCCTTCCTTTCCTAGAAGCTCGTTTCTCCCCACGAAGACCCTGGGTGCCTGAACCTGGACTCTGGACAGGGAGTGGGGTTGAATCCTCTCCTTTGACTGGTGAGGCAAGGATTCTCCACGGACACAGTGACCGGTCACTTACAGATCCAGCCTCATATGGGAAACCATATCAAATGACTTTTAAAGCTCTTTCTAACAGCAGGAACCTGTTTGTCCAGATGGACGGCACCAGGGATGAGTGTGCTCGGTCACTCATTCAAGAAGCATTTCCTCAGACCTGTCCCACACTGGACTCCATGGGACACTCTTGGGATTCAAGAGAGGTTAAGACAGGTGATGGCCCTGTCCTTAGTGAGTTACAGTGAGTGGAGCCAGCAGACAAGCATCAAATCACTTTAAGTAATTATAAAATCACAGCTGCAGCGAGTTCAAGAAAGACCAGGGCAGTGGCGGCTGGAGAACCAGCAGCTGGGCCTTGGCCCACGCGGGAAGGTCAGGGAGCTCTTCTGAGACAGTATCTTTGCTTCCATTTGGAAAAATACAGAAATAAATACTGTGAAAGGGACAGGAGTCCAGTTAAATAGGCTCAGCCGCACACGGTCTCAGCACTGGAGGCCCAGGGCCATGTAGCCTGGGTTGCACAATTTTTTTTTTTTTTGGTATTGGGGATCAAACTCGGGACCTTGTGCTTGCAAAGCAGGCAGCAGAACCACTGAGCTAAATCCCTGGCCCTGGGTTGCACAATTTTAACAATTCTTTTTTTCAAATTGTGAGACAGGGTCTTGGCGAAGTCACTATGTTGTCTGACCTGAGCTTGAATTTGCGATCCTCCTGCCTTAGCCTCCCAGAGTGCTGGGATTTCAGGCCTGTGCCGTTACATTCAGCTATGTTTAACAATTTGTTCATCTTTAACAAACTGTTTCTCTTAACAATTTTCCTTTTTTCAAAGGGAGAGAGAGAACGTGTGCATTGGCCTCACAATGCAGTCTCTCTCAGGGTATAAAAGATAGAAGGGAAGATAAGACAGAGCCACGGCAGGCACTAGTCATTTGCTGAACAGGTTAGTAAACAAGATCAGACTTTGACAAGGAACAGTCCAAAGTCTGGCACTTTCATTTAAAGAAATCAATCCCACAAACATAACAGAGAGGAATTTTCTTGACAAATGCTCATGGGTAAAAACATTAAGGGTCAATTAAATCCACAAATAGATGTGGGCTAAAAAGTACTATAAAACGTGCTAAAAGCTGATGAAGGAAGGTATGGTGTCCAGCTCTCTGGAAACACTCACTTCACTTGCTCCTCCCGGCCGGGGTTGCTCTGGGAGGTCAGGGCTCAGCTCAGAGTGTGGCCTTCCGAGAGGAGCAGGGCTGACCTCAGAAGTGTCCAGAACCTGACACTGGGCCTGCAGGCTATGACAAGTGAAGAAAGGCCAGGGGAACTAAGGCCGGGCAGCCTGGACACATAGGACCTGAGAGGGCTAAAGGCCACTGTGGAAGCAGAGCAGCCCCTGCTGTCCATTTCCGAGCCTGTCCTCAGCCGGTCACACAGGGGCCTGCCTGGCTCTGGGCACTGGGCCGCCTCACCCAACACCCCACACAGGGGTCTACAGGCCGAGATGTTACCAAACGTACCACCAACAATGACAAAAGAGAAAAACGTGCTGGGCAAAGAAATTCTGGGCAAAGCCATACTGTTAGGATTCCTTCCAGAATGCTCCTGTCAGGTTCCAGAGTGTTCTAGAACCTTCAAATGTTAGTGCCACTGCAAACAACCAAGACAGGGAGGTGCATTCCAAGTTTCCCAATCTTTGTTGACCCCAGGACTTGCTTGTGGAATTAGTATTCCTCCACACACCCACACCCTGGGAAAGCTGGTTCTAGACTTTTCTTCTCTGGGCTCAGTGGTGACACACAGGTCCAGGGGACAGGAAAGCAAAGGCTTAGACATGGCATCTTTATCCATAAGAATGAGTGATGGCAAGCCTGGGCAGGAAAACATTGGGGGGATTTCCCGAGAAGCCCCTGAAGGTTCACTGGGCACTCGCGTAGTGTCGCATGGACTGACATGGCACCATCTACTTGGTGAACTAGAAAAGGTCTGGCTGGGGTCCTGTGTCCTCTGATTAAAGACCCAGAACACGGGGAGATCATCTGCGTCCTTTGTGGACTTTGTTCAAGCCTAATACGTTGCTCTTACTGCCTTCCAGTTCTACCAAGTCAATGAATTGCCAGGAGTGCTGCCACCCTCCCAGTGACACTAGCGCGCTGAGACTCTGTAAATACTTGCCTCAAATCTGCTGGCTCTTACCACTCACCTGGCTCTGGATTTGTAGGAAAGGAAAAGAAATCAGATTTTGTGCTATTTAACTTAGCTTGAATTGCAACTTAGCTGCAAGGCTGAGAGAATGCTCGGTTTTGGTTGTCTGTATTTGCTAGAGGGTGTCTGTGGGATACTTCCAGATGCTGGGCAGAGAGAAGACACAGCCACGTAAGTACCTTCCAGTTTGCCTGGAGACCAGCACGTGGGAAAGGGCCACATGCCTGAATAGACGCTTGGAAAATGCTGGGTGAGGTGGCACATGCTGGCCAGCCCAGCACTCTGGGAGGCCAAGGTAGGAGGACTGCAAGTTCAAGCCCAGGCTGGACAACCTTCTGACTTAACAAGACACTGTCTCAAAGTGAAAAGGTTTTTAAATGGGCTAGGGATGTAGCTCAGTGTGAAAGCCTTGGGTTCAATCCACAGTGCTGCAAAAATAAGTAGTAGTAGTAGTAATAACAACGACAATAATAACAGGAGAGAGATTGATGTGGGTAGGAAGGGGAGACAGGGGGTCACATCAATATTCGGACAGTCCAGAGGCGAGGTTTAAGGTGCTGATTCACCCCAGAGCACACACGCCCTGCAGTGCACACGGACGCCTTACCCACAAGGACTTGTATTTCCTTCCCCGATCACCCACCCACTTAGCTCTCTGCTAACAGCACCTCCATTTCACCTTGAGAAATCAAAGTTCACTGCTCTAGCAAACTTGGGCCTAGGAAAGAGAAAGATTTAATGCTGTGCTAAACCTCTTCTTAAATAAAAAACAAAAACTTGGCTCACGCCTCTGTATTTCTTCCCAGAAATGAAAACATTTATGAAGGTTTCCTTGGCCACCGAAAGAAGAAAAATATGTTTATTGCTCTGTTTAATCCCCACAGACTCAATGGCTCTTCTGCCAGGGAGGCCCCCAGCTTCCTGTCTCCTCAGAAAGTAAAACGAGTCCTCCTGGCTCATGTGCCGCTGCTTTTCGAAAGTGTACACCTCATCAGGGTGGTTATAAATAAACTGTTTGGATTTAGGACGCGGCAGCCCCTGCTATTTTGGGGCTATCTCAGCAGTCTCCCTTTTCGCTGGAGGTGGCAGTTGTGGGAAAGAAAATCCAGCCCAGGGTACAACTCACCAGTCCCGAAGCTCTCCTCCCCGCACAGGGACAGTTTGCTGGCATCCATCAAGTTCCCAAAGAACTTCCAGCCCGTCGGGGTCTCATACAAAGCGATCTTTGTAGCGTTCGCCACCCTTCAGAGGCATGAAATCAAAGTCACATCACAACAGGACCGTGACAGAAAAGAATGGCTGTTATTGCAATCAAGGGTCCAATTTAGCAGAGCTCAGAGGTCTGCACGATTCTGAGAGCGGTGGAAAAGCAAGAGAAAATCGGGGCACAATGAGCTATTCTGTGCGCCTTCAGGGGAAGGGGGAGGAGTGGAAGCAGAAAGCACGATTTCAGATGGCAGTCTAGTATTTCAGGAGCAGGGGCAGCAGTAAAATGTGTGGGCTGTTTCGGGGCTGGGTGAGCCCCTTCTTCTGCACAGCCTCACCTACAACCTTCTGTGAAGAGCAAAAGAACGCTGTCGTGACACGCAGTCACACACACGGCGTGTGGACAGGGTCGCATGGCAGTTCTCCTGGGCCACGCCTCTCTCTTCTCCTCAGGAGCCCACAGGCACAGTGCCGGCTGGCTGGGGTCTCCATCCACACAGTGCCACTTGCTCTGGTCTCAGGGCCCGTGTCCTCTTCCCTCCTCTCTAGGCCTCAGGTTACTTAAAGCCTCTGTGTGGGGCCGAGGCTGCAGCTCAGCGGTAGAGCTCAGCTTAGCATGTGCAAGGCCCTGGGTTCCATCCCCAGCACCAAAAGCAAACAACTGAACAATACAAGTGAAACCTTTCACTTTAAAACAATCCCTTCTCCTGTGTACAGGGATAATTACCTGCTAAGTCTCACCCTCGGCGAGTGAGATCTGCCTGCCTCACTCCCAGCAAACCAACTCAGGTTCGGAGTCTAACACTGGAGGAAAACCAAACCAAGAATTTCTAAAACTGACAGCACAGTGAACTCTCCTCTGGGCAGTGAGGTGCTCAGGTGAGCTCTCAGCCTTCCAAATGTCAGGATTAGGCTGCTCCCAGGTGGCCCCAGAGCCTGACGGCTGGCACGGAGCGGCCACAAGCCAGCTCTCAGGCCGGGCGAGGTCCAGAAGCAGCGGCTCTGAGCCAGTGCTGGGGTCTCAGCCTCGCCTGCTGACTCCCCCGACTTAAGTCAGGACTCCTGACGGTCGTGAGATGGGGAACGTACAAAGCACCATCTGCATTGCCAGGCCCTGGAGGTCATTCACCGCTTCCTTGTTAGCACCAGCTCTGCAGCTGGCACAGGTGCGCGGGCAGGGTGGGGCCAAGGCTCCGCTCAGATCCAGGCTCCCGCCCACTCGTCCCTGTGTCCCTTGTCTTCCACTGGGACACAGGGGCTGAAGAGTGCTCACCTCTGGGGCCGGCTGAGAATCGTGACTTAGAACATGCAAAGCATTTGGGTCCAGGATGAGGTCCACCCAGGAAGGGTTACGTGTGAGGCAGACTATGGACACAAGCTGTCCACTCCTCCACATCATGAGCTTTCCATCTCTCTCTCTCTCCCTTCCTTCCTTCCTTTTCTTTCTTTCTCTGTTCTGTCTCTCTCTCTCTCTCTCTGTCTCTCTCTCTCCATTCAGCAAAACTTCCCTGGGTTCCTGACATGTCCTAATGATACTTTCCCCGGCCCTCATTCATTATGTATTACTTTTTGTTTTTCTGCTGTCTCAGATGTGAGCTCCTAAGCCACCTACAGCAAAGGGGTCTTTCACAAATAGACACACATACACGCCAAGCTGAGATCTCAGCTGTTCATCCTCACTGGTTTCTATGCATAAAAACGGAACGCAGTATTTTTTCTCTTTTATCAACTGAGCTTTCCGTTTAGACTTGGGGCAAAGGTAGGGCCACAGTGCTGACAGTGCCCGAGCAGACTGCCCTGTGGAAGGCAAAGGCCCTTCAAGCTCCTCCCGTCCTCGCCACTGCCAGGGGAAGGGGTGCACTCATTCATTCACAGCATCCAATACTCGTTCACTTGCTAAGGGATCTGTGTGCATGTGCGCGTCTTGTGCACTGGGCCCACAATGCCAGGCAGCCTGCAGGGTGCTGAGCCACAGCCCCCTCTCTGCAGAAGCGCAGGGCCCTGCCAGGCAACCTGAGAGGGCATGGAAAGGCTGGGGTGGAAGAAGTGCGGGCGTGAGGCTTCTCGGAGGGGCACCGGGTTCCGAGCCTGCTCCCAGCAGGAAACACCTGGCACGCTGGGCCACGCACGCGAAGGGCTCCGAGGGCCAGGCTGGCCGGGACACGCACCTGTCCAGGGCACCGCTCGTGGGCATGCTGCGCGCAAAGCCACGGACGCCGGTCTGCTGGAAGTACGGAATGCTGAAGATGTTCGCAGCGATGACGGCCACGGAGTCCGAGGGGTTCACGAAGAAGCCGTGCTTGCCCAGGATCATGTTGCGGTCCTGGGGGGACCAGAGGAAGCCCGGTGAGCAGACAACGGCCACCCGGGGCAGAGTCCACAGCTCACGTCATCCACCCCGCTTTAGGCCCGGGTTTCCTTTCTCTGAATCTGCAGGGCACCAGGCCCAAGGCCCCTCCGTGCCCGAGGGCGGACTGTTCTCATGAAGGTGCAAACCCTCTGCTGCCCCGAGCAGCCGCTGCCCGCACCTTTCCCAGAGCAGAGGGGACGCGGGAGGGGGCGGGGCCCCCAGGGAACCACGGAGGATTTCTTGGAGGAAAGGCTCCCACATCCCATCCCCTCATGCGGTGCCGCTCTCTCCGTTTGGCAGGAGCCAGACACGACCCACACCTGCGGGGAGGACGGGTGGCAAACTGGGTCTGCCGCAAGCCCTGCAATTCCCCGAGTTCTGATACAGGCAAGGGTGTTTTTCAGGGTGCACTGACTTCTAGACTGGAAAAGAATTGCACCAACAGAAATAAGTTTTCCACTTTGAAATGTGTACAGAACCCGACTCTGCTAGAGACCGAGGAGGGCTACAAACCGGACCCAAACACACCTCTTCCTCGCCTTACATGGTCACCACATACACAAAACCATTCGTTCATAGAGATTTTAACTGCAGAGGAAAAATGAAATGTTTCAACAGTCTTCATATGGCCCTCAAATTAGAATTTCATCATTCAGCTAACGTGAATGAATAGGTGCGTGTGTACACACACACACACACACACACACACACGTACACATGCATTGTTTCGGTTTGGGTTTTGGAGACAGGTTCTCTCTCTACAATCCAGTCTGGTCTTGAATTCATAGTGACCGTCCTGTCTCAGCTTCCTGAGTGCTGGGATTAGAGGCGTGTACCACCACACGCTTTTCAGGGGTTAAATAATCTGCCAGCTGTTGGTTGAAGACAGAAGGCTGTCCTGCTCGGGAGTCCCAAGGTCGGCCCACAAGGCGCCATCACAGGTCGAACCTGGGACCGAACAGCCCTGCCACTCATGAAGACAAGCACCAGGGCGCTGCGGGGCTCCCACTGCGGTGCAGGGGCCTCTGACAGTGCAGTCCGACCCCTCCAACCCACGGCGGTCACACACCGGGCTCCCAGGGCCTGGCGGAAGCAGCCCTTGCCCACACACCAGCACCCACTGCATGTGCCCATACCCACCCCGTCTCCGTCAAAGGCAGCCCCGAAATCGTGCTCCCCTGACTTCATGGTCTCCACCAGGTCGGCCGCGTAGGTGAGGTTGGGGTCTGGGTGGTGGCCGCCGAAGTCCTCCAGAGGGACGCAGTGCACTGCCGACTCGGCCGGGGCGCCCAGCTCCTCACAGAGGATCTTCCGCACGTACGGCCCCACAACTGCCCAAAGCACAGAGAGCGCGAGAATCAGGGAGTGACGCGGCTCCCCTCCGAGTGGGGGGTGCACAGGCACCGGGCTGGTGGGACGTGGCTCCCCGGGGAGAAGGCGGACAGGCAGGTCTGGACAGAGCCCGGCTCTCGGAGGACAGAGCCGCAAAGGGACGCACTCGAGAGCCTGGGCTTGGGACAGACTCGCCAGTCCGGCCGCACGGTCCTGGGGAAGGCTGAGTCTCTCTGCCTCGGTCTCCCCGTCTGCAGTGAGGGCAATCACAGGGACCACCCAGCAGGGCTGACACAGGGCGGCCTGGTCACAGGTGTGACGGCTGAGGAGAACCCGGCGCGTGCCCGATGAATGCTCCTGTCGTGCTCCACTCCAGGGCACAGACGAGAAGCGGGGGCGCGACTGAGGGTGGCAGACCCAGAGCTCGCTCTTGCCTTCCTCCTCTGTCAAGCTAGACATACAGGCAGGAGGAGCAGCCAGCAGACAAAGGGACACTGGCTGCGCGTTGACAGTGTTGTGCGGAGTCTCCAAGCACACTGGTCTCCACAGCGCTCAGAAGGTCAAGGAAGGCGCCAGGCCGGAAACGCGCCACACAGGGGAAGGGACGGGCAGAAGGTGTCTCCTCTAGGGCCACGTTTCCACAGCTCCTGACACCACAGAAGGGGGTGACAGCGGCAGGGCGGTCAGGACACAGACAGGGAGGCCTCCGAAGGACCTGGAAGGCCCAAGAAGGAAGCTACTTCCTGGCGGCTTCCTCTGCCCGGGGCCCCTCACAGGCCCCATCCCGAGCCGGATCGGGCTTCTCACCCGCAGTGTGACATTTTGCACTTCCACCACAGCCACTGCCCCTGGGGAACAGCCGTGGCTGCCCCTCCTTGAAGGAAACCTTTCTCAATGGCCCTAGTCACACCCCTCTTCCACACCCCACAGAGACACTGGGAAGTCCACCTGGCCTCGCTGCACTGCCCTGCGTCCACAGACACCGCCGTCTGTGAGGGAAGCCACCCTCAGGCGTGCTTGTGAGGGGCTCCGTGGCGGGGAACAAGGAAGGAGACAGGTTCCGGGGTGGGGACTTGAGCACCCAGGGAGGAGCTTCCTTCTCACTGAGATGGCAGCATGACAGGAGGCTAGCAGAGCATCACCACAGGGGCTCAGACATGGACGGAAAGTCTCCTCCAGTCACGCAGGCAAATGTGTGCACACTCAGGGTCTAAAACCCTAAGTTACTACAAAACGGACAGACACACTGGTGCTCAGGAGCTCTTGCGCCCTGCAGGGAGGAAAGCCCAGGTTCTGGCTCAGGGTCTTGCCAGCTGCCCTACTTCCTGTCACACAGTCCCCAGGGTGGAGAGGGGCTACGCATGCTGTTGTCCGTGGACTTCGTCCCAGCTGGCTTCACCCTCCTGTAAGGGAAGGAGCACGCAGGGGCAGTGATCGGGGTGTGGGCCCAGGGGCTGCTGGCCCACAGAAATTCCCAGGGAGAAGGCGGGGCTTCTGAGGGACAGGAGAGGCACACAACCACGGCCTGTACCCAGACCCTGACGTCTCCTGCACACACTGCCCTCCCACTAGCTTGCCCCGAGTGCACCCTGCTGCACGGGTACCTCCATTCTACTTTATCCCTGGTCGCTGCTCCAGAGCGGCTGCCACGCGACTGTTCAGCCATGGAGCTGAGGGGAGAGCTGTGAACACAGCAAGACCCAGGCAGAGAGCAGCTCCTGCCTCTGAGAGGGCCCTGAGGAGAAGCAAGTCCGCACCTCCGTGCATGGCATCTATGCGGATCTTCAGGTGGTTTGGGCCAGACAGCAGCTCCTTCAGTGCACTGAAGTCGAAGATCTTCCTCAGCATGGTGGCATAGTCCTCCACCGAGTCCACGATTTCCACTGCAAGGACAAGCAACACGAAGAAGTGAGGGACCCAGCACGTGCAGAGGCACCGTACTCTCCGACAAGTCTACGGCCATGAACCTGCATTAAAAGGACAGTTACAAGGCAGCTCAAGGGGACAGGACTCTGAGTGACATCTGAATACCAACCATTTCCTCAGAGGCAAATGCTGTTAGTCCCATTCTACAGATGAGGAACCCCAAGGTCTGAAAGGCTGGGAACTTGCTCGCCCCGCCAGAGCATGGGATTTTTCTTGAGGTTGTATAAACACTCCCTTTTGCCACACTGCCGGGCATGGTGGCACACGCCTGTAATCCCAGCACTCAGGAGGCTGAGGCAGGAGGATCACTGAGAGTTTGAGGACAAACTGGGCTACACAGTGAGTTCAGAGACAGCCTGAACTGCATAGTGGGACCCTGTCTCAAAAAAAAGAAAGACAACAGTATAAAGCAGATTTTTAAAAAGCTTTTTTTTTTTAGATAAGACCAGGTTTCACTGTATTGCCTAGGCTGGCCTTGAACTTATGAGTTTAAGGAGTCTTCCTGCATCAGCCTCCCAAGTTAGCGGGACTACAGGTACAAACCATGTCCAGCTCAAAAACAAAATGTCCTTGGGGCTGGGGATTTAGCTCAGTGGTTCTGTCACCTGCCTCGCAAGTGCAAGGACCTGAGTTTGATCCCCGGCACCAAAAAAACAAAACAAAAACAAAAACAAAATGTCCTTAATGAGCCACTTTTTGTATGTGCTGCTCACAGAATAAAACAAACCATAACAATTCAGCATTGCTATTGTCTTGTTATTTACTGGACTTTCAGGGGTTCCCACACTTCTAAGACAGGAAGAGCTTGCTGCAGTCTCCACTGGTGTTTCCGGAACCCTGGAGCCTTCTGGCTGCACTGAAGGAAGGAAGTGCCGGCCGCTCCGGGGGGACAGCGCTATCAGCTCACCCTGGGCACAAGCGAGGTTCAGTCCAGAGGAACGGGGCCCCAGGGCAAGGCCCAGACATGGCCCCAGCGTCCCTCCAACTCATTCACACACAGACCCTCAGTGCATCGGTACCAGCGCCAGGCGTCCAGCAGCAAACCCTCAGCTAAGAGGTCCAGCCAGGCCCGGACAAAGGTCTGACTGGCTGACCCAGTACCGGGCAGGGGGGACGGCCGAGCTGGAGCACCGTGCCTGAGTCTCAGTCCTGCTTGTTCGCCTCCCCCTTGCTGCCCGTGTGGCTGAGTCGGCTGCGCCCCCGCCCCAGCACTGTGTCACTGTGCACGGAACCGCAGCCACGGCCATGGGGTGACCTAAGCATCCATGCGGGTGGCCCGGCCTGGACTCTGCAGTCTGATGGGTGAGGCCCTTGGTTCCAGAGAGCAAAGGGAGCACTGGAAATGGGGCAGCATGCCGCCAGCCTATCAGGGGCAAGGAGGGCGCGGGAACCCAGGCCTCAGGGCTCCCACGCCCCATTCCAGGCCTGCGGGTGGACTGGGACATGCGGAGCCCACTGTGGCAAGACCTCGGACAGAAAGTTCTTGAGCTGGAAATGGGTGCAGAGGAGGAGGAGGCGCAGCCGTGCCTGTGAAGGGCTTGAACTTGTTCTCCAGGTCGAACTGCTGCTTCCCCAGCACGCTCAGGTCCACCTTCAGGTCAGGGCAGATCACGTACTCCTCGATGGTCCTGCTGATCTGGAAGATCCTGTCTGTGATTGCCTCGGGAGCAGGACCTGGGGACCAGGCAGCAGAGAGTGGTCACTGCAGCTCCCATGGGACAGTGGAGAGCCCAGAGCCCAGCAAACGGAAGCCTTGGCCCCTTCCCACAGAGGATGAACCCCAGGCACTGGCTAATCCAGCTGGAAGTGAGCGAGCGCAACCTCACCTCCATTCGCAGTGTTGAACTTGATCCCGAAGTCACCGTTGGGCCCGCCTGGGTTGTGGCTGGCTGTCAGGATGATCCCACCGATGGCTTTGATTTTTCTGATGATGCAGGACACGGCTGGGGTGGAGAGGATCCCGTTCTGCCCAATTACCAGGCGCCCGATCTAGGAGGAGGGATCCGGGACACTCTCACACCTGGGAAGCCACCCAGACCTGAGCCCAGAGCCCAGAGCCACAGCACAGCACCAGCATGCGTGCTCCGTGGACATCGCCCCATGGACGTCGCCCCGTGGCCTGAGCCAGAATCGCATTGGAGCTGAGCCCGTCCTTCTGACCTCCGTGCAGCCCACCGTGGAGGGGAGGTGTGTGGCCTGGGCACTGCAGAGGGCTGGCAGGAAAACAGCAGCCTCCTAACGGGGCTTCTGCAGATCTGGTTCATAATTTGGATACAGTCAAAGACCGTGAGAAGACACACGTGTTTATTCAACCCAATGACCCCTTCAATCCATAAGGAGAGCATTAGTTCAAGGGATTCTACCCAAAGAGAAGGCTTCTGCAAAGTCAAATTCTTAAAAAGGAAGAAGGGCAAACTTTATCTCAAGACCAGTCTAAAGCGCATCTTGCACGCGTCTCTCTCCAGCCAAGCCTGCACTTCCTGTGTCGTGGATTTCCTCCTCAGGTCAGGGATACCTGGTTACTTCCTGGGCCCAAGACAGCAACACAGGGGTGACACTGGGTCCCCAGGACGAGGCCACGGCTGGGGCTTTTCCTGCACTCCTAACCCAGTTTCCTACACCTCCCGCGGAAGGACTCAGCCTGCCTCTCACTCTCCCTTTGCTAAAATGACAATGATTTACATTTGCTTCAACGTGACCCAAGTTGGACAAGCTTTGCCCATTCCTCTGACATGTGGTAATGATGGGAACACGGGAATGCCATATTAAAAAGACATAGCTGGGCGTGGTGGCTCACACTTGTCACCCCAGCACTCAGAGGCTGAGGCAAGAGGATCGCCATGAGTTTGGGGCCAGCCTGGGCTACATGGTGAGCTCAAGGCCAGCCTGAACTACACAGCGAGACCCTGTCTCAAAAAACTAAAAAAATAAAAAGGCTGGTAAGATGGGGACTGTGTGTTTTCCCCCATCCCCTCCCGGGAGAAGAGTGGGCAGGAATATTTTTCAGACTTTCCATTTGTTGTTTCTGTTGGTCCCACCCAAGATAACTGTGGGTGATGGGGGGGCTTCTGATGGGGAAAATGCCAGTGAGACAGCCGGCTTCCTTGGGGAACTGTTTCCGGGGCTCTCAGCTTTGCCACCCCTTGCAGGTCCCGGAAAGCTCTGCAGCCTTAGAGTACAGCCCACACCGCCTGGAAATGGCTGGTTCATCCTCATCCACCCGCGCTGGGCTCTCGGCTGTATCTCTGAACAGCTCTGCTGCAGCTGCCCTGAGGGCCGTGCGTCCTGCCCCCAGGAGCAGGGACTGCAGGCTGGATCCCTGTGGACGAAAGGAGCCCCAGGCAATGCGGAAGCGATGCCCTCGGCTGTCCCTGAGCTGCCTGCACCCGGCCACTTTCAGTCCCTTTTCACCTCCACTCCTCCTGAGCCCATTACACAGCTGGAGACACTGAGGTCGAGGCTCGAGACCCTGACCCTCCTCATTCCTCGCCCACCTGACACCCACCCTAACACATGCTGACGGACGGGCTGGGGAGATGAAAAGGCCATGGTGTCAGGCATCGCCAGGGACAGCACTGCGACCTCCGCAGTCCACACTGCGGGGACAGGGCTGGGAGAACCGGAGGGCAGCCGGGGCTGGGCTGCACCATGCGCACACCCAGCCGCCACCATCTCCGTGGCTTCTGCACGGATGTGGGGTCCAGCTGAGACCACGCCCCGGGTCAGCTCTGACTCGGCCAGTCCTCCCAGCCAGGCCTGCAGGCACAGGGTCAGGGCTGGGGACCAAGCTGGGAGAGGAGGAGGGAACCGAGAGCAGGCAGGGTGCACACGGCGCGCCCCTCAGCCCAGGAAGGGCACGCTCAGCCGGAGCACTGTGCTCCCCACAGCCCTCCGTGACCCCCAGGGATGGCGCAGCGGCTCTGCCCTTTACCTGCTTCCCTCTGGCCTCCCGCCTCTCTCCCACCTGGACACACCCTGCTCCTTGAGGCCGAGCCACCCACCTGCTCAGCACGCTGGGCTCTTTCTGAGCACGACTGTCTGGCTTCCTCTTCTCACTCTCCCTGGGCCACCTGATCCAGAAACCCAGCGCCGAGGTCATCCCCCAAAAACCCAGAAGCAGGACCCAGCAGACACACGTACACCCCCATTCCAGGCAGTCTTGCTCACAATGATTCAAGGATGGAAACAACCCAAATGCCCTTCACCAGAGAACAGTTAAAACAAACACTGCAAGTGCACAAAAGGGATTATTACTTGGCCTTTAAAAAGGAGGAGATCAGATTGGAGGGTGTTACAGAGTGACCGAGTGGGAAAGTGAAGGAGGAGACATAAAGCAGATGAAAAAAAGACCCTGGTATGTGCTGTGACACGGGCAAAGGCAGAGAACACTGCACAGAGAGACAAGTGCTGTATGGTTCCACTTGCACGAAGCATCTAAAGTAGCTGAAAAGCAGAGCAATGTCAGGGAGGGGTGGCCAGGGCTCAGGGAGGGAGCAGTGGGGAGTTGCAGCTCCCCAGGGTGGAGTTTCAGCTTGGCAAAATGAGAGAGTCCTGCAGATCTGTTGCACAACTGTGTGAGTATGAGTAACACAACTGCACACTTCAAAACAGCTGAGATGTTTCTACTACAATTCATTGTTTTTAAAAACCAGTCACTGGGCTGGGGATTTAGCTCAGTGGTTCCGACGCCTGCCTCGTAAGCGCAAGGACCTGAGTTCGATCCCTGGTACAAACAAAACAAACCAAAACAGTCACTGTATTCAAAGTTGACATTGCTCTCTATGGACACAGGTATGACTGGAAGGAGGTGTATGGGATGAGTACTCCTTTCAGAACTCAGAAAGAAGGGAACTGAATCCTAATCCATTCTGATTTCATAGGATGAGCCTTGAAAACCTTATGCTAATGAAATAACAAAAAGGACAAATATTGGCCAGGCACCATGGTTAATTCCAGCTATTCAGGAGGCTGAAGCAGGAGGATCCCAAATCCGAGACCTGCTTGGACAACTTAGTGAGACCCTGTCTCAAAATAAAAAATAATAAGGGCTGAGGCTGTGGAGGTAGCTCAATGGTAGAGTGCTTGCCTAGGAAGCATGAGGCCCTGGGTTCAATCGCCAGTCCCACAAAAAAGGAAAAGTATTAGATGATTCTGCCAACATGAGGAACTTGGTGTAGGCAAATTCACAGAAAGGAGGAGGAGGTTCCGGGGAATGAAGGCAGGGGCACAGGAGTGAGGACCTAACAGGAAGCCCCTGTCCAGGGGGCCGACAAAGTCCGGCGGCAGAGGACAAGGTGAAGGCAACACACCATCTCAGAGCTCAAGAGGGCCCTAGCTGGATCCCAGGCGAGGCCAGAATGCCAAGCCTGGTGCCGTGTGTGCCCCCTCCTGACCCAGCCCAGCCCAGCACCTCAGCTCCTTCCCTGCCCTCCCACAGCCCCCTTTCTGGGATGCAGAACCTGGAACCACCTGGGGCTGTGACTGCAGCCCATGCGCACAGCAGGTGCAGCGGGGAGCCCTGTGTCCAGCCGCCTCCTGTCGAGAACAGGCGTGGGTTCTCCTGTGCCCGTAAAGAGCTGAGCCCTTGCCTTTGCCCTTCAAGTCATGGTTCTGCTCTCGCCTCTAACTTTCCACTAAGTTCTGTGCTCTGGGGACAGAGTGTGACACCCATGCTGTGAGTGGCCCAATGTCTTACTTCATGCATTAAATTTCCTGTGGAACTTCTACGCTTCTGCAGAGCAGAAAGCACCTCCTTTTTCTCTGTGTGTCGCATTGTGGTTCAAGCAGGGGCCTCGGGCATGCTGGGCGGTGCTCTCCCACTGAGCCTCTCCCAGCCTCGATTATTAGTGTTTGTTTTAAGACAGCATCTCACTGAGTTACCCAGGCTGGTCTTGAACTTGTGATCCTTCTGACACTCCATCAAGTAGCTGGGGTCACAGCTAGAGAAACTTCTAATAAAGGCTAATTACAGTCCATACACCACAAGTGCTCCGGGCTGAAGTGCATTAGCGGAGGAAAATGAAATGGTCTCCATTTAGTTCATTAGCCTTGGAGGTCCTCCGTGAATTGGACATCAGCAAAGGAAGGGGCATTGACTTTTGCAAAATCATCCTCCCTTCAGAGTTCCCGCCTGCAGTCCTGACTACAACCAAGGCAGTGTTAAAATAACTAGAACGTAGGACACATCAGAAAAAGGAGAAAGCATCTCACAGGCTTCACCAGATTAAAGTGCTCCATCAGCCCGCTGAGCATTTTAAGGAACCTGCCTGGCCAGCACAACTGCTTTCAGTGCGATGCTATCTTTAATAAGGAATGTCCTTGAAAGGACGAAAATACCACTCGGGCAGCCAAAGCACTACCAAATAACGGTTCCGGTATTTAGTCAATTATTGTCACCTGGATGTATTATTCAGCATAGCTCCAGACAGCCGATGTGAGGAAGCCTGGGGGGCTGGCCTGAATTACACATTCCCAGCACCTCTTCGCATCCTTCAGCCCCGCACAGAAATGAAATGGAGCCAAATCCATCACAGCCGAGGGCACAGGGCACCGGATCCCTCGCACAGCCAGATATAGGCAGAGAAATAATGTCCCCTTCGTCCCTTTCCAAAAATTGAAAGCATCTTAATACCATTCCCTGTGCAACTCTCCTCAAAGAAGAAATTTAAGGCATGTCACACTTTATCTTAAAAATGTGTGTGCTTCATAATAATTTCATATTTGAGTGCTTTATCAGCAACTTCTACATGGAAGGCATTCAGATTCTGAAACTGGGTATCAAGGAAACCTCACCTAAAACCGACAGAAGCTACAAACACTTGTACTTTGGGTTCATGGGTTGGTTTGTTTTTTCTTTTTAATTGGGTTTTTGCAAACACCCATCCCCGGCACGGCAATAAAACAGACTGAAAACAAACACCCAGCACAGTTGGCTGCAGGGCTGACTTTCATGTTCTCAAAGCCAGCATCTTCCGGAAGAGTCAGGACAG